CTAATATACTTACCAGCATGTGAGTAGCACACCTCTATAGTATCAACACACAAGAAATAAGTAGAGGTAGTCAGAAAATAATTCCATTCAAGGCAATTTATTAGATTTCAAAATGTGCCCTTGTTCTATGCTGGAATAAAAAGCACCATGTTTCTAATGTCTTTATGAAAATGTACCTTGTAAAAATGTTTAAGTTCTGCTTGACAACTTCAGGTTTTTCTTTCTTATACTGTCTTTCCTGCTCCCTCTAAACCAAGCCTACAGTGTCATGATCACAGCCAGGGTCAGAGAAACCTCTCAGGTAAATCCCCTATAAAAATTAGGAAATGCTGGAACATTTCAGCTCTGGTGAAACTGTGCTTCTGTGGAAACATATTTGCTAAAGACTCATAATGAGGTGCTGCAGTTTTCTTTGGGATCCTTCAAACACTGAGAGAGCTGCTATTTCAAGTGACCCTATCTTCTTGGCTCCTCACAGCTGAAAAGACCTGAGAGCTCTGTTCATAAAGGTTTGCTACTCGGCAGTGCCAAGCATAAGCATTCAGTGCCTAGCCCCAGAAAGGAATTTGCGATGCCAGATTAAGCACCAAGGTTTCCTGGGCAGTGCGGGAGTCTCGAGGTGGATTTCATGCTGCCTGGCATGACAGAGGCAAGATGCCTGTGCTGTTCAGCAGGAAATTATGGGGAGAGGAATGCACCAGAGAGCCTTCTCTCTCACAGGGCTACAGGCAGTGAGACAAGGTGGAAAACCCCTCTCCATCCCTTTGAATCAAGACACAAGGCCCAATTCTAGTAACTAAGTAGGATGGCAGAGCAACATTTCTGTGTCTTGGTGGTTCAAGAACTGATCATATGCTCTACCTTCAACAGAGGAGAAGGCACCAGTCAGTGAAAATTTGATGTGACTTAGGAGCGATGGGAGCCTGACCTGGGAAGGTTTACCTGATGCACTCACTGGATAAGGAAGCACAGACAAAGTTCCAGGAGCAAGAACTGGATGTTCCTAATTCCAGTCCCAGAGTCAGGGCGCCTGCAGATAGGTGTGGCAAAGCTGAGCACTGCCACACCTAGGGCCACTCCTGGATCTGGCCCTCATTGCTCTGCGCACGCACGCTGACAACAGCATGCCCTAGATTAGCCACACTTGCTTTTGTTTGGTGTTAACTGAAGGGATTTAAAAATTATATGCATTTTTCTTCACCTCTGCTGTTTACTTGCTTATTTACTGCAATCAGACTGGAAAATTAAAGTAGTCAGGCAAATTTTATTTTTTTTTTACTTTTTAGATGCCTATGCACCAGCAAAATATCATGATAGTCAAAATGTACTACAGACTATTATTCTGTCTGTATTGTGTTTACGTTTCACATATAATCCTTTACAAAACAGAAACTTTTTCACTAGTTTTAACTTATTCAAGAGTTCTTGCTGTATCTAAACTCAGAAGTCATAGCAATTTTACAGTACTCAACTGGCTGAGATAGTTTTTAACCAAACTGCCTATTCTCTGGTTATTACAGTTCATCATACACTTGAGTGGATCATATTTGAACTTTGTCCTGATTCCGCAGTCACCTAAAAGCATACTCAAGACTAAGCATGCATCTTTAATGCATTCAGATAGATGCATCAGAATACATCCATGCTTAATTGATGCAACACACCGTATTTCTGAGGAAGTAACGATACCATAGCAAGTTGCTTGAGGCTCAGGCCCCCAGCTGCAATGCTAGCTGTGTCAGGGGGTGAGTACCAATTTTTGGTTTTGCAGAATCCTAATTAGCTGATTATTAACCAGAATTTGACACAGTCTTCTTAAATGTCACAAGCAGAAGTTAAAAGTTTTAACTTTGATAAAGGGGTTTAACAGAATCAGCATGATCATAGTTTCTTATGGAAATCTCTGCCGCAAAATCAGAGTTCTGAATCAAACAACTGTAGGGTGGGTAAACTTATGTATTTTGTTCCCACACCTTTACTTCTTACATTATTTTCTAGGTAAGAAGATACAAAGTTCATAATTTGTAGAGACTTACTGGACCTTCAATAGCTGTCTAGCACACCATTATCTGACATTCCTTAGATTAATATGCTGTACTCATTACTCTGTTTTGGACATAGAAAGCTAATTAAAACCACGATATATAAGCTGCATAAAACTCAGTGAAACTATGCAATACAAATGTTTTCCACAGGAGGGAAGAGGCGGCCTTTCTTACTCATACAGTGCCGTCTTTCTTGTCTTTCTCAGGACATAAATGAATGGTGGGAAAGAAGAGTAAGGAGGAGGCTTACTCTTCCCTCATTAATATTTGCTTTCCATCGATCCGTTGTTCTGTTCTGAGACTGTCATTACACCCTGCGTTATTTTAAGAAAAAGTAGACCGTGCTCAAATGACAGCAGGGCGATCAAGGAAAAGTCAGTCACGCACCGGGTGAACTCCGGGTTTTACGGTCCTCATAGCCCGGGGTTCACCCGGCGCTGCAGAGGGCCGGAGGTAATCTCTTCTCCTCTGCACCTTTCCTAACCGAGAGAACCCCGACTTCAGCCAGCCAAATCCCGTCCGGGAATCCCGCTCCGCGGAGGAGCATCAGTGTCCCTCTGGCCGCCCCCGAGCCCGCGCCCCCCGCCGCCGGGCACGGACCGCACCAGCCCCGCTGTCCGCGGCGGCCCCGGGGGCGGGCGGCCCGGGCGGGTACGGGCAGGGATGGAGGGGGGGGTCGCCCCACGACCCCGCTCACCGATCTTGGCGAGGGAGGCCAGCAGGATCCAGAGGGTGATCTCGAAGGGGATTTGCACGTGGGGGTAGTCCAGGGTGAAGACGTGGAGCCGCGTCTCCTCGAAAGCGGTGCCGCTGGGGCTCGGAGGGGTGCCGGTGCCCATCGCCGCGGCGCCGGGCAGCTGCCCTTCCGAGGTGGCCCGCGCCTCCGCCGCCCCGGCCGCCAGCGCCGCCAGCACCGGCACCAGCACCGGCACAGGCACCGGCCGCAGGGGCGCGGCAGGGCGCGGGGGGCAGCGGCTGCCCATGGCGTCCCCGCTCCCGCTGCCCTACAGCCCCGCGCTGGCCGCCGCCACCATCCCCGCCGCCGCGGGCACCTGCCGCTGCCGCCGCCGCGGCCCCGCCGGCCCCGCCTCCTCCCCGGTGACTGGGCGAGTCCCGGCCCGGCGCCGCCGGCCGCCCGCGGCGCCCCACTCCCCCCGGCCGCCCCCGGAGCCGCCCCCGCGGGGCCAAGCCGCGGGCTGGCCCAGCCGCAGCCGCCCGGCCGCCGCCCCCGCCGCCCCCGGGGCCGGCCGGCCGCTGTCAGCCGCGGGGAGCGCCCGGGCGGGGGCCGCTCCCGGGTTCCGGGTCCCAGGTTCCAGCCGCCGCCAGGTGCTGCGGCGTGAGCGGGGCTCAGGCACCCGGGTACCAGCTCCTGCCCCCCAGTACCCGCTGGGATGAACGGAGGTGCGCAGGTGTAGGCAGATCTGGAAGGTCTTCCTTTAACTGCAGATTACTCTAAGAGAGATGTGTATGCAGTTATAGAAATGCAAGTACGTATATGTATATATATTTGTATATAAAGTGTTAACACACTCTATAGGTATATACACGCCTATAAATAAATATAGTCTCTACATACATGTATCTAAAAGCAATTTAGATTAGAGACTTTATATGTATGCATGTACATCTATATGCATACGTGTAAATGTGTGTGTATGTATGTATACATATGAATGTTTATATGTATATATATTTAAGAAAGTAATTTTTACATATGTATATGTGTATGTATGTATATATCTATGTCACCATTACCAAATACAGAATAGGTGCTTCTACCAAATATGTTATAGACACCATTCTGTTCCCACTAATAAGGAGTAAAATTCTGTTAATGTGGGGAGTTAAAAGAACACACTCTGTATACATATATGTATGTAGGTTCATGTAGATGTATATGCTGTATATGTATATGTTGTAGAATACATATTTATTTTATGATCTATAATTATATAGTATATTATATATTTAATATATACAATTATATAGATAGGAGTTTTTCTGCTGTGCCTTTTGCAACTGGACATGTCTATCTCGTATTGGTCTTTTTAGCCACCAGCGTGCTTCTAACAAACGTGGATAGAGCCCTCCCCAAATCTTCGTTCTCAAAGCCTAGCCATGATGATGATGATAGATATATTAAATATTTATTTCCACCTATCGAGCATATGATAGGTACAATCCTGTTACTGTTAATTAATAGATTATCATTCTGTTAATTCAGAGAGTTAAAATTGCACACTGTATAAACATATGTGATTGCTCATACATATATTCTCATGTATGTATATATAAATATATGACTGATCAAATAGTTTTGTGTGTGTGAGTGTGTGTTGCAAATATTGAACATATGATTGGCAAAATCCTGTTCTTGAAGGCATTGGGATCTGATTCCATTAGACACTGCTGAGGACAAGCTTTCTGTATTTCCTGAAAGAGTGGAATCTCACCCATGATTTACTCATGACTTCATCACTTATGAGTAAGACAGTATTCCAAAGCTCAAACTCATAAAATCTTTAGAGCACACTGTTCTGCATGCCTCTATAGCAAAGCATGTCTTTCATGAATTCCAATAAAACTAAAGCAGGAAGTAAGGGTTCTCCTTTTTTCCCCTGATTTATCAGTGGCTACTGTTTCTGTAAGGTGTAAAGCTCAGAATCAATTAGCTGAATACCTGTAGTTGTTACTTAACCCCTAGAACCTGAAAAGAGGGCACTAAGCCTATTGCTTTTAATGACATAACAGTAATAACAATTGTTCTTTATTTTATCTACAATTCAGCAAAGAAAACGTTCTAATATCAAACCAGTGTATACACCATCTAACCCTCTAGCTGCATGTAATATCTTCATATCTTCTTTTATTTGTTATATTAGATTCTCTGAAATAAGAGGATCAGATAAACATTGCCAATTCTGAGGACATTTCATTTATATGGAAAAGGAATACAAAAAGAAAATGCTCTTTCTTTTCTGGATCTCCTAGTTCCTGTCAGACCATCCGTAAGAAGAGAAGTCTAACCCTCAGGTGAGGGAGATAGCATTAAATTTCATATGCAAATCAGATTAAAAATCATAAATTTAATTCAGTCTGAAATCATAAGATCTGTAATTGTACATGTATGTCACATTTTATGACCTTTCCTGCAGATGAAGAAAAATACGGTTATGAAAGTGTCAATACACTTTCTCCTAGGAACAGTGTTACAGATCCCTTGTAGTTATCTACATTATCTCACTGGACTGAGAATAATCTTCAATAATGTCAATGCAAAAGCATTGGCAAGAGCAAGCTGGCCAAAGCTTTTAGAAGTATTGTTATTTATATACTGTCCCATTGACCCTTTTCTCTAATATCACTTCACAATCCAGTGGTGGATTCACCGTCCCTGGAGGTTTTTAAGATGAGACTGGATGTGACACTTGGTGCCATGGTCTAGTAACCACAGCAGTGCTGGATGAAGGGTTGGACTTGATGATCTCAGAGGTCTTTTCCAACCTGGTTGATTCTATGATTCTATGATCTATGCTGGAATTCTTATGCCCATTCAACTGTCACAGCCAAAATACACTGTAGGGCAGGTAACTGGACCACTGTCCAACAGCTCTGGCAGGTGCAGCAGCCAGCAGATCAGTGTTTGGAAATTGGGAAAAATTGGCTGAGGGTTTCCCTTTGCCAGAAGAGGGGAATGAAGACTTTAGGTGGAGAAAAGATTAGGCATACAAAAGTGGTGGAAGGTTCCTTCTCACAGAAAATGTTCTTCATTACTGCCCTTTTCATTACAGGCAGTGAGGGATGACAGAGCATGGCTGCTGCATACTGGCAGAGACAGAGAGTTGCTTCAGCACCCAGGTAATGCCCTTACAGCCACAAGGTTTCTCCCAGGCATGGGAAAATGGACCCTTCCTCAGGGCACCATCCACACATTTGCAATTATTTGTCCTCTGACTCATCTCCTCTCCAAAAATAAACAGCCACACGCAACAGAAATCCTTCTAGCTCTGACACTGCTGTGGGTCTTGGTACTAGGCTAACTCTCTTTATATATTATGAAAATGAGAAGTTGGCAAATGGAAAGAAAAACAAAATGATGGAAAGATGTCACTAATCCTGAGGCTGGTGGCTTACATGCCAGTAATAAAAAGGGAAATAATATATTGACACAGATCTCAAAACACTGGGAGAGTGAAGAAAATGAGAGTTGAGATTAATTATAAGAGTTGATACTGTCTATTGTTACATCAAAATAACATATTTTATGGATGGATTGTATAGATGAGAATACCCACTATTTGAGTAGGAATTGCCTTTACAGGATAGCACAATACAGCAGGGAAGCAAACCCTATTTGACTTCAGAGCTAGTTGAAATAGATGCAGTGAAGCTCAGCACAGTATAAGGTGCTGAAGGTCTTAAAAGGATTCTCTCAGTGTTTGCAGCACATGCTGCTTTTCACTGCCACCAGACCTGTGCAGCTGGTCCCACAGATGCTGAGGGGTTTCGTCACCAGTGGAAGGTCTTTAAATCTCAGAGATTTGCCTGAGACGGGAGAATGGGGTATAATATTCCCATTATCTCTGCTTCACCCAGACCATATGAGACAGCAGCAGCAGCTTCACTCCCCTCCACTGCCCCTCGAACTCTGCCCAACCCTGCAGGTATCTGCACAAAAAGTAGTTCCACCTGAAGCCATGACCAGGGCCATCACTATATGAAGAAAAATATTCCTGAGCTTCAATGCTGCCTGAGGAGGGGAGGGAGAGGGTCCCCTCAGCCAGGGAGAGCTATAGAGGAGACGTGAAGGTGTGTTCCTGGCGCCGCAGTGTCTCGTCATGGCTCTGCACCTGACAATTCAATGCATCTGCTCCCACTTCAGAACAATTTTCTGTCGGGTCGCTCCGCACCATTTCAATGACAGCACAAACAGAAAGCACGTACACCGAACTTGCCTGATGGCAACTGATCCATAGAGGACCTTCCCGCAATGCCCCCACCGCTGCCTCCCTGCCCGCACTGTGCCGTGCCATCTGCTGCCGCAGTACTTTCATCTCCTTAATTCTGCTCGCAGGCATTGTCTGTTTTACCAGACACAGTGCTAACAGCATTTCACGTGACAAAGTGCGTGCTATTTTATACATCAAGATGCTAATTCACATGATTCAGTTTGTTTACCTTTTAACCCATTTATTGATTACTACTGGAAATTGCTGCCAGAGCAAGGGACTGCTCAGGGTACCCACAGTGTGCTGGTTGCAAAGGAGAGGCATTGGCAGTCAGACCACACAGGTTTGCAATAGCTCGGGTGGTTCATACAGGTGTTATGACAGTTTAGTTTTACTTTTGCTGTAGCAGGCAGTGAGACTTTCTCATTGTAGGCATGACGCTGAGTTACAGGGTTGTATGTGGTCTGTGATTATTAATCCAGCTTTATCTTTACAGTAGGAAAGATCTATATTGCTATTTTAAAAAAATCTGTTTCTACAATGAAAAGAAAAAAGTAATTTGAACAAATTAGAATTATCACTTTATCATAAATTTAGCTCCATTTTTTGGGGATTCCCTAAAAATAATGACATAATATTTTCATACTTGATTTTCTGACCTGTCTTTGATATCAAGGAAGAATTTCTGGAAAATGTTACTGTGACTATTTCAATAAATAGATCTCCTGTGAGCAATATAGTAGGTGTTCTCTAGTAAATTTATCAAAAACATGAAAATGGTTAGGGGAAATTTGTAAATATATTAATAAATATTTGTCCATCATTTTCATTGCTATTCTAGTTTGGCAGATATTTTCAACAGATTAAAAAAAAAAGTTATATTTTATTCCTGATATTTTATTTTGATGCAAATTAACACTGTGCAGAGAAGCTTACTCTTGAATACTTCTTAAATTTTCCCTGACACAGTTCATATAGCAGTATTGTAAAATCTGTGTTCCTTGTTCAGAAGAAAAGTATAAATTTCACCATTCTTCCTAGTCACTTAACTAAAACAGCCAAAGGCTTTCTCCAGTTTTCCCAAAAAATATAGCGCAGGAGATTTAAACACAGACCACCTTGCTGAAATATATTAGGATGTTACTAAAATAAATTTGTTAAAAATTCTAGTATTTTCATTAGAACAAGGGAATAAATTTTCAGGCTACATCAGGTAAAGAGGTGATTTGTCTTGAATCTGTAGCTGTATGGGAATCAAAGTACCACAAGGAAAACCTCTGCCTGTTGTACATGCAACTAGGATGTTCAAAGAGTTAAGTGAAAACAGACACCTAAGAGGTGACATAGGGATTTTTTTACTTATTTAGAAGTAATCTCATTGGAAATTTAAGGACTATAAAATACAAATATGCTTGACTGAGAGTTTTTGATTTGATAGGGGAGCTGGTCACTCACCTACATTTATTATGTTAATAAACATTTCTCAAATTCTCTTCCATTAGGGATTAGACTCTCTTTATGAGGGCTGTGTCACCGGGCCTTGACTGTATAACTCTGTCTCTAAATCCATTAATTAGTGAATGAATATCTCAGCTATAGAGTGATTTATTTTCTGGAATCAATAGTCCATTGAGGATGTGTTTTTCTACAGCCTTTTCCAGGACTGCTTAGCAACTGTCCCCATAAACCACATCCACCAGAGGCATTATACCTTCCTCATATGGGCACTTTAATGGCAGCAATTTAGCTGTGCACGTCTGAACTTTGGTAAGCCATTTTAAGGCCCTTGCAATGTTAACTGTTTTGTCTGCACAAACTGGTTTTTTAGCTGGAAAGAGTTGAGAAAGGGCACAGGTACTGGCAGTTGCCTAATATTCCAGGATTCAAGGAGTGACAGATGCAGCAGTTGCCTGGCTATAGATGTGGAACATGAGGGAAGGAGCATAGCTATTTCTTTAATCTTCAAAAGCAGCCCAATGAATGAAGTACTGAATTCAGAGTGCTGAACTCTGCTTTTCTGGTTTTCTCTTAGGCCTCACTCAGCAGCTGCTGCCACACAGCACCAGTCAAAGTTATTCCAGCATGAAGCCCTGAGGGAGTAATGTATTGCTGCTTCTGTGGATTATAGGCAACCACTTCCCCAAAGCCAGAGATAATCTGTGTATTAGAGTAATTGCACCCATGTGAACACTCTCCCAAAGACTTCTCCTAAGGCCGTCCCCAGCCAGCAGGTGTGTACACAGGCACTTTGCTCACCGTGAGTAAGCATCTCTAGTGGGTTCAGCCAGGAAAGCCTTTTGTGCCTCCTATCAAATAGCAGAGAGGTTTTGGCAGCATTACAGAGCATCAGAATTAAACATCATCCCCAAGAACAAAAAAGCTGATGGTCCTACCATCAGCTGCTGCAGGAGGACTAAGTGATGTGTCTAAGTCCAAAGGGATACTTATAACCCAGGAAGACTAATAATCCACGAAGTTAATTTTTGCTATTACTTGAAAGTAAAGTGCCCTTCTTCTGTTCATAAGACAGACAAAATTGAGAAGAGATGCCCAGAGTGGTTTGTGCTGTTTTTCCTTTCATTAGTTGTGTTTCAGACGATCTGGGAAATTACATTGTTGGGCACATTTGCTGGAAATCTAGAATTGGAGATGACAGACTCATCTCCCTCTCTAAAGGATTAGAACAATCTAATTGTTTAATAGGTAAGCAACATGTTTAATGTTTAAACTGTAAATCCCTTCTTTAGCTCACTCTGCACCAGGACACTTAGTCATTGAATGATTTCTGAGGCTGTGTCCCCATGCTGGCTGTCAAAAGTAGCCACTGTTCTCAAGCTTAGCACCTGTCACTGCCATGAATACAGAAATACTAATTTAAATGTTTAACTTCGGGGGCAAAAAAAGTTAATGACTAAAAGAATGCCTCCAGTTTCAGCCTTCCAATGGCATCAACAATGATGAGAATTTTCCTTTGAAAATAGAGCCTGATAGGGTATGGTAGATATGATAAGCATATTTTTTAATGCTTTCCCTTGAGTTCGACTGTTGGAGTTGGTGACTGAAGTGATTCCTTTAGCGCTGTAGCCCATATTTACAACAGTAGTAACCTTTGAAGCATAGAGGTTCAGCCTCTGTTTGCAAAGGGCAAGGTGAAGACTGACCCAATCCTGCTAAGCTACACTTCCTACTTGCTCTTTGCTAGTAGATTAATAGCACAAGCATGTTGAACAAGTGTTGTTTTCAAAATGCTGAGGGGTTGTCAATTTTTTTCCCTGAAGAAAATTTCATTTAAAAATAAATGTTATAATGTTTCTCAAGTAGTTCTGAAGCAAGTAAAAATGTGTCCAAGCCATGCTCCCTATCACCTTATTCTCTGTTAAGCACAGCCTAAAGTCTGTTTTCCCTCTCACCAACATGAGCTGGTTTGTACAACAAAAAAAGGCCCCATTTAGGCCCTTGATAAGGGCTTTTCTTAGAGGACTAAGATCTTCAGCAGGAGTCTAGTCTTACAGAATGTCATCCTGTAGCAGGGATGCTGCTCAGTTTATAACAGTTCCTGGAATTGCTGTACATATGTGGGGTGAACAGGGAACTGTTCACCCCACAGCCCCTTTCTCATCTGCCCCTTGTTTCTGACACACTCTTGTCTCTCCTCTTTATCCCAAGAACCTACCTACAAAATACAAATAAATGCACCCTGTTCTTGCTCAGTCAGAGCTGAGCAGCGCTGGTCTTCATTGAGCTATAGGGAACTATCCTTTAGCAATGGTGAAAAAATCCACCTCAGATTCTCTACAACCCCAAGGCTGACTCTGTCTAGAGTGATGCTATACATATTTCACTGAAGCCAGGAAAGTGTTCCTGACAGCTGAAGCAGAAGCAGTCCCAATACAAAGACATTTTGTAATTTGAGTTGCCCTTAAAGGTAGTTTGTGAATTGCTACAGTGATCAGCCAAAGAATTAACTGTCTACACTAATACTGTGTATGCAGGGGTTGAAGAGTGACAATATTTATCTGGAAACAGAATTAACCTAGAATAGGTGTTATTTTTTTATACACTATACACTATAACTTTCTTTTAGAGTTCAGAAAGACACATTTCAAGAGTTGATAAATTCTTCTTTCTTTTCAGTCTCTTGAGTTTGTATTTTGCTTATCTTTCCTTAGTTTTCCTTATTTCTTATTTCTCTTAATCCACTGTATCCACTGAAGGTAATTAGCTATTGCCTTCATCTCTTACGTCACCGTATTTTCATTGGAGAAGGTTAATAAACCTGTGCAGAATCTTTAACCGATGATCTCAGCTGCCTGGCTTTATGACCAGTAGACTGGTGCGAACACAGGTTTTCCACTTGACTTGGTGGAAGTTTGGCTTTAAATTTTACACAGAATGTTATTTATGGCTTGTTTTCAATAAAAATTAGTCTAGTTCATTGTTCCTATGATTCATGTGTAAAAATAAACCTTCCTCACCTCTTCGCATAATCCTGTCCATGGGAAAGTCAGCACAAAACAATCAGGTAAGAAATTAAAGAATATCATTCATTCATTCAAGAAGACATATCGTTGGAAAGTCCAACCTTCCCGTAACTCCTTAAAGATGAAGTATGTTTGGGAGAATATAGTCAGTGAGGCTGCGAGAGTTAAAAGAAAGGCTTTGATTTGAAGTCCCCTGTAGACACCATAAATTTAGAGTCAAAAGGACTACAGCTGTTAAATTCTGCCTCTGCACTACAGAGATAAAGGGTACTGCATTCAGCTGCATATGAAATACCCCCTAACCTACAGCCTGGATTTTAGCACTTCCTAAGTGGAATAATATCAGTATGTGAGTTTAACAGAGCAAAGCTGCAGTGGTTAGAGCAAGCAGTAGTCAAGCATCAACCCCTTTTTTTTTCTAGAAAAAGATTTCTCATGATCTCAGAGATTGAACCCCATGCCTTATTTAACACTGGGGCCTCTGGTGGTCTAGTAGTTAGGGTGCAGGACTCTCACCGCTGTGACCCGGGTTCGATTCCCAGCCCCCCGGGCAGATGGAGCTCGTTAGCCCTGTGAGGCAATCCATCTAAGAGAAGGTCACTCTAAACAAACCTACGTTCTGAGGACCTCACTGCCACTGTCCAAGCTTGCTCGGCCCCGGCAGATGAACCTCAGGATTAAAGGGTGGGCTCAGTTCAGCGCACGCTGTGTCTCACCTAAAAAATCCACTGCGCAGGCTCGAAGGGTTAATGACCTTTCCCAAATCTTCGCTCGCAAAGACTGGCCATTATTATTTAACATTCCAATACAGAGTAAAGAAAAATGCACAATATTTTCATTATCAGAGGTTACCAAATTAAAAAAAAAAAAAAAGTAACAGCCCAAATTGCTGATATTGTGAAACTTCTCAAAGAATTTTATATGCCGTTTTAAGTTGGAAAGATGAGTACAGGAGGTTTCAGGGGAAGAAAAATGTGGACTTTTCATTGGAAAGCTTTGAGTGGAAACTTTTAATAAACTAATGGTTTCTCACTGCTCTAAAAACAAACTGGACACATTGGCATAATGAGGAAGATGTCAGATTTTCTTTGTCTGAGTGAAATGAATTCAGTTAGCTTTATCGGCATTTGATAAACATTTTAAATGGAAGATATATGTAACTTATACCACTGGAAAAATCTGATTAACCTTTACAGTGTTCACAATCCTTTGGTGATCACCAGTATCACTTTGGCTCTCATACCCTCTTAATCTATCTATATTCTGGGTTTGATTGTACTGGAATGATAATAGTTTAGAAGAGGACAAATTTACTGCTTCCACAACAACAAACAGCCAGCCTCTTTTCCTTTTATATATAGATATTTAATTTAATATCTATATGAATACATGGTGTGTGGTGGGGTCCTGGGCTGGCTCTAATCCCAAACCTGGGCAGATGGAGTTTGCTTAGCCCCGTAAGGCCATCCATCTAAGAGAAGGTCACTCTAATCAAACCTACATCCTGAGGACCTCACTGCCACCGTCCAAGCTTGCTCGGCCCTGGCAGATGAAGCTCAGGATTAAAGGGTGGGTTCAGTTTCACGCATACTGCATCTCACCTAAAAATCCATTGTGCAGGCTTGAAGGCTTTACCCACATGCAAAAAGTCCTGTAGCGACGGGTGAGGGTCGAAACGGCAGGTGAAAGGTGAACTGGAAGCCTCAGACCCAACCCTGCATGCAGGAGGTTCAGGATATTGGTCATTTGAGACTGACCGGAAATGACAGTCTCTTGGGGCAGCACCCTGAACAACCAAGCAGCCTTTCCAAGGACAGCACTGCTTGCTCCACTCGGAGAGGGGCCTAGAAAAAGTGGCCTAAACAAAGCTCATCTCCACTTTCACCCGGTTGGTTAACCGCAGACCAATAAACATCTTCTTCCAATGCAGTCACACAAAGATCAAAAGACAAAGGCATGCACCTGCCTCCAAAGGTGTACCAAAATTAACTCTAGCATGTTGGAACATCAGAACTATTCTGCGGATAGCGGATGTCCTGAGCGACGTTCTGCCCTAATTGCCCATGAACTGGCTCGTCTCAACATCGACATTGCTGCTCTCAGTGAAGTTCGCCTTCACGAGGAAGGCAGCCTCAGAGAACACGGTGCTAGTTACACACTCTTTTGGTCAGGTAAGCCCAGAACCGAAAAAAATCTCTCAGGTGTCAGCTTCATGATCAAAAACTCTATTCTTCCCAAACTCGAAAATCTGCCGACAGGTCACTGTGACCACATTATCTGCCTACGCCTTCCACTCCACAACAACCAACACATCGTCCTCTTTAGTATATATGCCCCAACTCTCCAAGCTGACCCTGCCAAAAAAGATAAATTTTACGCTGACCTGCGCCGCCTTACCCAGAAGGTTCCTGCAGATGATAAGATCATTATCCTTGGTGATTTCAATGCCAGAGTAGGTAAGAATTTTGAAGCATGGAAAGGTATGTTAGGCAAGCATGGTGTTGGAAACTGCAATGATAACGGTCGACTTCTGCTAGAATTCTGTGCAGAGCAACAGCTCACCGTCACTAATACTATCTTTCAGCAGAAAAATAGTCTGAAGACAACCTGGATGCACCCCAGATCTAAACATTGGCACCTCATCGATTATGTCTTGGTGCGACGGAGAGATGTCTGCGATGTCCTCCATACCCGCGTGATGCCCAGCACAGAATGCCAAACAGACCATCGGTTTGTGCGCTGTAAACTCAATTTCAAGCTCAAATTCAAACCCAAAAGGCGCAGTATCCCAAGGAGAAGACTCCAAGTTAACAATCTCCAATCAGTCACAGTAAGAGACAAATTCCAGGCTAACCTTCAAACTAGGCTCGAAAACCATTCCACAGATTCTGCAGATTCCTCCCCTGAATCAACTTGGCACCATATTAAAAACAGCATCCTGCAATCCTCTGAAGAATCCTTAGGGTTCTCCCTCAAGAAGAACAAGGACTGGTTTAATGAAAACAATCAAGAAATCCAGGACTTGTTGAGGAAGAAGAGAACCACCCACCAAGCACACCTTGCACTGCCATCCTGTCATGCAAGAAAAACAGCCTTTCGTCTTGCATGCAGCAAGCTCCAACAGAAACTCCATGACATCCAGAACAAGTGGTGGATCAATCTAGCTGTAAAAACTCAATTATGTGCAGATACGGGTGATCACAAAGGATTCTATGAGGCCCTGAAAACAGCATATGGGCCTACATACCAGGTACAAAGCCCTCTACTCAGCACTGATGGGCAAACGCTCCTGACAGATAAAACCTCCATTTTGAATCAATGGTCTGAACACTTTCAGACTCTTTTCAGTACCAACCATGTAGTCCAAGACTCAGCAATTCAGTCCATCACGCAACAACCGGTAAAGTATGAATTGGACACTGCCCCCACTTTAGGAGAAACCCTCAAGGCCATACAGTAGGTGAAAATCGGCAAGGCAGCTGGGACTGATGCAATTCCACCTGAAGTCTGGAAACATGGGGGCCTCGCACTCCATACCAAATTTCACGAGTTTGTGGTGCGCTGTTGGGAGCTCGGTGAACTACCGTCAGACCTTCGTGATGCAGTCATCATCACTTTGTATAAGAAGAAAGGTATTAAATCAGATTGCTCAAATTACCGTGGTATTACTTTGCTCTCCATTGCAGGCAAAATCCTGGCAAGAACACTCTTGAACAGACTAATACCCGCTATAGCTGAAGAAATTCTACCTGAAAGTCAGTGTGGTTTCAGAGCCAACAGGAGCACCACAGACATGGTATTTGTTCTCAGACAACTGCAAGAGAAGTGTAGGGAACAGAACAAAGGTCTTTATGTAACCTTTGTCGGCCTCACCAAGGCTTTCGATACTGTGAGCAGAAAAGGTCTGTGGCAGATTTTGGAACGTTTAGGTTATCC